CATGGACACACATTTCCAGCCAGATTTCGATATGTTCGTAATAATAATATTCCACGAACATGTAATGTGTTCTAAATAAATGCATCGAAAGAAAGAAATATCAAATGCTTGACTTACCGTGCCTGTTGGCGGCCCGTCGTTGGAGCTATTTTTTGGGCGCTCCTCCGTCGCCTTGTTATCCCCTTTCATTTCCCTTTGATCTTCTACAACTTCCATCTGCATATAAAACGATTTATTTATTTTTTTATCGTAATTACTATCATATAATAATATTATTTTCTTATATTCATAATGTTGTACATACCTTGCTTGATCCTGCTTCGGCCATGGTTTCTCTTGTAATGACGAACAAACGATAATCGCGACCGATGGCAAGTCCCGATCATCCACACACATACAAGATGTCTCACAACTCGTGTAACTCAAGGTAAAGGGATGGTAGAAGATGTAATTTTGAATAAGATTTCTGTAATTCTGAATAAGATTTTCCTTCGCAAAAATGGGGTTAAAAGCTTCGTTTTTTAATTATTAACGAAAAACAGGGACCAATCAGAGCGTGATGATTACGCGCGCCCTGAAACGAGAGCAAAAGATTCGAGCCTAGTAGCCGAACATCATCATGATCAAGTGTCTATGCGCCAGGACAGTGTAAACGTTTATAACCGCTTACGGCAAATCTCAGTTAAATAATGAACAGCACAGTTACAAATAATGTTCACTTATTCGTTTATCATGTATTCATGGAGAATGAATAAATGAACATTACTCTTAATTATTCTGTTCATTATTTAGCTGAGTTTTGATGTAAAGACTTCTTATTATAAGTTTTTACTATTTCGAGGCAAAGATGCTTGATCACGTTCACGTTCAGCCGATAAACTCGAAGCTGTCACTTCCGCTTCTCAACGCGCGTAATCCTCACGCTATGATTGGTGCATGCTTTTCGTTAATAATTCAAAAACGAAGCTTCAAAGCCTATTTTTGCAAAGGGAAATCTTATTCAGAATTACATCCTCTACCACTCCTTTACAGGAGTTACACGAATTGTGAGACACCCAGTTACACGAATTGTGAGACCCCCTGTATACAAGTATCGAGAAATAAACAAATGCCTTCTCACCAAGCATTTTTCGACCGGAAAAAAAATATATCACAGTATAGTTCGCGACATTTTACTGCGATAACGTACGAAAGTACAAATAAGGTAAAACGACCGCGAATTATAATATTTTTTTTTTCTTTTTTTCTATTTCCTTTTTTTTATTACACTATAAGTGTACACAACTGTGTGTTTCAAACAGTGCGTGAAAAATTATGAGTAAAGTTTGTAATATGAACACGATAAATTTGTGCATTGCCGAAGGCAAAGAAACGGTGGAAAATGTGTATATAACAAAAGGAATTATGAAAAAATTGCCCCTTTCGAGAAGAAGATATTCACAAAGAAGGGCGTGGCGCAAAAGAAGAGAATGCTTATTAGCCGCTCAGAAGAAAAAATTGGAAAATGTTGACGGCATAACTAACAAGAAGAAAAATATTGATGTACAATTTATAAATCAGCCGTCAACATCCGATGGGATTTATTGTCCATCGGAAGAAATTGAGGATAATACCATATCCGCGGATAATTCAGACCTGGAAGAAAATTTACTAATAGAAAAAATAAGAACGACCGAGTCAGAAAAAATGTCCTCTATCTACAATGGCTCGAGCATTGTGAATATGCGCCATATGTTCGAAGAATTGAAAAAAATGAGCAACCATGCCGAGAACAGGGAAGACTGTGGAATAAAATATCTGGAAACAACCGGCATAAAACGGTCGGGCCTGAGGACAACCCTCAGCGTAGTGTGCACTATGTGCCATTATAAAGGTGAAATCCACAGTCAACCTGATGAAGTTCAAGAAATGAATATCAATCAAAGTGCCGTGGCTGGTACGATATTTACTGCAGCTACGCCCAATTGGAACAATTTCTTAGACCTTAAGGGCGAATATTTCGAAAAGCAATAAAACACTTTGTTTCGATCTTGTTCGTTTCTGCTTCACTTTTTGTAAAAACTTAAAAGGCAACCCTCGTAGCAGCGGCTGAAGAAGAAAAACAATTAGCTATTGAAAGAGGAGATATTCTTCCAGGTTCTGGAATCCCGCACATTCCCGTCATTGCCGACGGGAGCTGGATGAAAAGATCATACCGCACCGGAACATATAACTCTGTGTCTGGAGTTGGCGCAATAATTGGATATCGCACCAGAAAAATTTTATTCATGGGAGTGCGGAACAAAACATGCCGCACCAGAAAAATTTTATTCATCGGAGTGCGGAACAAAACATGTAAAATTTGTGATTGTGCTATAAGAAGAAAGGAACAACCCCGAAAACATGTCTGTTTCAAAAACTGGACAACATATAGCGTTCACCGCTATGAGCGTCCACCGCTATGGAAGGCGATGCCATAGTGGAAGGTTTCAAAACCAGCGTGCAAAAGCGGGGATTGATTTATTCCACACTAATCGCTGATGGAGATAGCAGCGTATATAAAAAAATTATTGATGCCGATCCGTACAAAACAGAAATTCGTGTGAAGAAAATTGAATGCACAAATCATTTATTACGGAATTTCTGCCGAAAAATGAGAGAAATTGCAAAAAAAACGACAGCAGGAAGTATGAGGAAAGCTGTTGAAAATAGCATTCGGCGGATACGGACGGCGATAGTAAAAGCCGCGCAATATAGAGACAAAGAAAATGTATCGACCAACGAAAAAATTAAAAATTTATACGGCGATATATATAACATGCCAAGCCATGTCTTCGGTGAACATGCGGAGTGCAATCAAATAAAATACTTCTGCGACGGGGAAAACAAAGAGAACGAAAAAAATATCGTCCCACAATTAAAGAATATGGGAATATATCAACAAATTAAGGATATACTGAAACCATTAGTAGCTCATGCAGAAAGCTTATTATACAGCTGCAACAATAATAGCGTGGAAAGCTTTAACGGGATCGTCGCCAAATATATTGGTGGAAAAAGACTGAATCTCGGAGAAAGAGGTTCGTACACGGCAAGATGTGCTGCCGCTGTATTACAATACAACACCAAAGAAGCGCTATCCCGCTTGAGTATAAGGATGAACAAGAAACCGGTCACAGCTGTATGCAATATGGAAAAGAAAAGAAAACGTGCCAACACCATAGTTAATAAAAAACGTCAAAAGAATATTGGAGCGCGAGCACAAAAAAAATTACGCTCCCAAAAAGATTTTGATTATGGACCAAACGCTGCACAAGCAGATATGAATCCAGATATTTATAAATTGGAAAAGGAAAAACATTTGAAAATGCTCCGGAAGTGGCAAGAAAGAAAAGACGCTATTGAAAAGAAAACAATTGGGCAAAGCAAAAATCAACGCTGGTACAGTTGTAAATCAAAACTTTTAACAGCGTCCAATTTTGGAAGCGTGTGTCGTCGCAGAAGTGATACATTATGTGCGAACTTGGTCCGAAGAATATTGTACGCGAAGATAATTAGTGTACCTGCAGTTAAATACGGGCAAGAATGTGAAGATATTGCCCGCCAAGAACTGGAAAAATGTATAGGTACAGAAATCAGAGAATGTGGAATTTTTCTCGATAAAATGTATAGGTACAGAAATCAAAGAATGCGGAATTTTTCTCGATAGTTCGCATCCATTCTTGAGAGCATCACCGGATGGTGTTATTGACGAAGAGGGCATCGTTGAAATCAAATGCCCAAAAACCGCTTAGAACTTGTTGCCGGAAGAGGCAATCAAGTCGATTTCGTCTATCCGACGGATATTTACATAAGAAACAGGTTCTATGACAGAAGAAACAGGATCTAAACTAAGCAAAACACATACATACTTCTACCAAGTGCAAGGCCAACTGCACATAACAGGTAGAAAATATTGTATATTTTGTATTTGGACCACGAAAGGGATAACATACACTGTCGCGCACATAACAGGTAGAAAATATTGTATATTTTGTATTTGGACCCCGAAAGGGATAAAATGCACTGTCGTCCAAAGAGACGACGCATTTTGGCAATTCGAAATGGAGCCAAAATTAATTAAATTTTACATACAATGCATGTTACCGGAGTACATAGACAGCCGGTATAACAGGGGTATGCCCATTAGGGAAGCCTCATTCATAATAGAGGAAAGAGAGCGCTTAAAAAATCTGATACAGAGGTTGTAACAGTCCGGCGTCGCACTGTACTGTAAAGTGCAGTACCATCGACCTTTACCGATGGTTGACAATTGCATTCTGCAATTGTACTCATAGATCATGCTATCCATCGAGTTTCTGGACGCTGGTAAACCGCAAATAACTAAAAGCACTTTCAACCCTTTTCTTTCCTATAAAGCAGAGGTCGTAATTAGTTGCACATTTCGGAGCGATTCCTGAGTAACCGCCCACCGTACCCACACTCCCGCTGTAGACTGCCGTGTGACATCGTTTTCCAGGGGCATCGTACGATAGATTTGTCAGAATCCATCCGTGAATAAAAATTTTGTAAAAATTTTGCTTGCACTGTTAATAATTTTTATTGTTACAGATTATTAAAGTAATTAATACTATATTTATGTCTATAAATATCTTACATATATACATAAAATAACAATAATATATGTTAGATATTGTTTTTATATATCACGGACTTCGTTCATTCTTTCTGCATCCTCGCCTTCCCCACTCTGTGGCCACATCCATAATGAACATCGTTCCCATTTTACGATATACGCAAAACCTCAGACCCGAAAGATTTGCGTATATAGAATATTCACTGTATGTCGTATATGTTCGAAAATGTACAAGAATTTCGCGCAACCAAATGAAAATAAAAAATCAAATAAAACGATAACTTATGACAGATTTTTCTAGCGTTGCGTCCTTGATTCGTTACAATGTATACAGCCGAATAAGGTAATCAAATGTGCTATTGAGCCAAATCAAACGCCGAATACATCAGTCGGTAGCATATGTAAAAGGAAAAAATCGAATTTCTAGTTTTTGGCCTATTTTACTGAAACGTTGAGTTTCACATAGCGCATATCATACAATTCTTTCATATTTTTGGAACGCAAAGTGTAATTGTAAAAGAACAATAACATATCACTAGGATAATCGTAATGTAACAGTCAAGCCTTTTTATGTTCCTTTATTTTCATATGAAACTTTTACTATTACAATTTTGACATTTTTCTAATTAAAATAAGACTAAACACAACATAATTCGAAATATATTTATTTGTAGTTTCAAACGTTATGCTTACATCGAATGATTAGTTAAATTAATAAAACTCTTTTTGCTTTTATATTGCGTAGTTGCCTCGTCACACATGTTTCCTAGAACCTAATTACTTTTACGATTTTATTATTTTCAAACCGATGACCAAGCAAATAGTTCACACTTACATCACTTTAGGAAGGATACTTTAGAAGGATCTCTTTAAAATATTTTAATTAAACCTGATTTATGAATATCTTAATAACGCAGTATATTTGTGTACGTGTGAAAAATTTTAAACCGGAAAAACAATAATGAAGAAAAGTATAGATTTTATTTTTTTGTAACACACGAGAGTCTGATCGAAATTGAGTGGTATCTCAGAAGTAATTGATCGACGCAGGAATTCGATTACCGACTTTTCAATACAGACATTTATTTTTGCTAATTTAATTAAATTGAAAATTCAACGAAACTTGTCTACGTCTACGTAATTAAAAACAAAAAAGTTAGCAACGCATTAACATTGTTAACAACCGACCCGAAATGAATATCGCGACCGAAAGGGGATGAGGTCCGCAAAGGAAACAGTACAACATTTACTAATATTTATTCCTTTTTATTGTTTTGTTTTTAATTTCTTATAACACCATAAATCGTACAACCAGAAATGCATATTCCGCGATAGCCTCTTCCGCGGTAGCCTCTTCCGCGGTAGCCTCCTCTTCCTCTGCCGCGGAGCCTCTGGCGGCGGTTTTACTATTTTTCGCATCTGAAACAGAAAAATGAAAATGTAAAATATTCTATATGTATATATTTTTTATATATATAGTATATAAAATAGGGGACAAGGTTTTGAAGACTGTCGAAGAATTAATTTTATTGATAAAATCCGCGGTTGCTCAAAGCTTTGATGTAAATAATATCCATAATGAATTAAAAGCAGTTCGAAACGATTGAGGAGTTCGGATTCCGGGCTAGTTATAATAATTTTTTTGCAAATACATAATTTATCGTAGGGAAACAAATCAGAAGAAATACATATGAAACACATTACTTACTTTTTTTCCAGACAATTGCGAATAACTGCTATTACTATTGCTGTTTTCTTTGTTTTGCGACAGCTCCCTCTTTTTTTCTTCTACCTCCGACTTCTCTACTTTTTTTTCCGCTTCTTCGTTTTTTATTTCCACTTCAGTGGGGACTATGGAGGCTATATCTATCTAGAAATAAATAATTTACATATTGTAAATTTGTAATTAACACTGGCAATACACCGTACGCGTAACATTATACGCAAACTACTTACTTTTTCAACTCCTTTCTGAACACTTGCTACGCTTTATATTGTAAATTTGTAATTAACACTGGCAAGACGCCGTACGCGTGACATTGTACGCGAACTACTTACTTCTTCAACTGCTTTCCTCAAGCTCTTGAGGTTATCCATGCTCGCTGGTCACTTTGCAAATGCTGGATCGTCGATCGATGCCGGGGTTCGAAGCTATGCACCCCACCACTATCCCTCACTCCCACCACTGTCCCTCGTTTAACACACGTCACTCATTTTCACCACAACCACTCATTTCCACCACTACCACTCATTTCCACCACTACCACTCATTTCCACCACTACCACTCATTTCCACCACCCACTCTCAATATGGGTACGAATATTACATCACATTACGTTCTGCAATATCCGAATGCAACGTATCGG